CGGGATACGATCAGCGTAAGACACATCGGGGACGCACGTCAGCGTCCGTCCAATTGACCAGCTCGCGCACTCGTCCGACGAAACAAGACTCGACGAAATGGTCGACAGTTCGACGTCGATCAGCGGCAGGATTGATGGTCACAATTACGATTTATCGTGCTCGGCAGGTGACGCGCGACGGTACGCGCGTTTCTTTAGCTCCAAATGAGATGTCAAGCTCCGTTCCCGGAGCGTTAACGTCGGCCACCGGCCGAACTGTTGTCACCCTTCCACGAGGGGTGCGCGAATGAGATTTGTCGGGCTTATATACACGTACGCGTTATATCTGTCATCCCCGGGAATAGGACAATCGTGCCGGTGCATTCAGCCACGGGGATTCCTACCGACTTCGTGTCGGATGCACCGTCTGCGAACGAATAGAGAGGGAAAGAACGAAGATCTCTGCGCGCTCTCCCGATTCCCGGTACGGAGAAGGACCGTCTCGACACCGAAAATTTTGTCGAGTAATGCAAGAATTATTATCCAACGCGGTGCACCGTCGGGACGATGCGAAAGAAAAGGGAAGGGCGGGTACGGGGAAGGGAAGAAAATGGTCGTTAAGCGTGCGCGCGAAATATGAGAAATGATCTGTCGACGTTCCGGTGGCTATGGAAAAAGCCGAACGCCGGGTTCAAAGACGCCGTGGAATTGAAAAAGCCGAAGGGCCGCGCCATTAGATGCAGCGTGATCGGGCGAATTCCGCGCGACGGGCATGGTCGAGGGAAAATCCATTGCGACGGTGGAACTTCCGCGAAAGGTGCGGAGGAAAAGCTTCCTTATTTACTACGCGAAGCGCCAGCGATCGCGCCAGTGATTAGAACGTACATGATTCGGTCGTGGACGAACCTTGAACCCCCCCCTCTACCCTCCCTTCTCTACCCAACCGCGGTTTAGCGTAGCTCTCGGGCGACATGCCGCCTACTAACCACCTGTCCTCAAATTAATTTAAAAAGTCGCTCTCTAATATATCGTTGAGAGAGTTTAATCTGACAATCGGTGGCAGCGTCCATTCTCAGCCTAAGGAGAATCTTACGCCAATCCAATATCGTCGTGCACGTTGTCTGGAGGAGGTATGACAAGTATCGACAGGCAATGAAATCGTACGAAGAACACCTGACATTTTCGTTGCTAACGCAACATCGAAGTTTTTACCTCGTCCATAAGAAATGTACGAGCGAATAAACTAGTTTCGTTTATTCGTCGACTCCGTCGTACAGAAAATATATTTAACGTGACACACAACGTGGCCGAACGACCACTTCCCAAGTGTTCCCGGTGTTGCTTAACTTCAGTAATCAGACGAGAGCCAATGCTCTCGATGTCGTACAACAGTTGGCCATTCCACAAAAAGTATTTTAACTTACACGTTGAGTGAGCAAAAAAGTACGGTTCGATTTCTCAGTCGACTCTAACTCCATTGCATTCATTGGAAACGTGGAATCATTCACCATTCATCATTCATCGTCGTTGTCTATAATCCTTCGTCAACGCTTTCTGACAGCGTTAGTCCACCTCCACCGGCAGAAGGTAGCCGATTTACCGTTGAAGAAGGACCAGGAACTGTTTGCCTGGCCGAATATTTGTCGGAGATTTTTAAATATTCATCTCCAAAAGAGAAATCGCTTCTTCTTTCTTTCGGTCAGAGAAGGAAGTACGTATAATGACGAGAGAGAGAGAAAGAGAGAGGGAGAGACAGAGAGAAGAGAGAGAGAAAGAGAGAAATTGCGGGGACAAGTTACCTTCAAGACGCGCGTGCAATGAATTTCTGTTGCGACAAGAAGAGCGCGAGAGAAATTACATTATGTAAATTCTCGTGCGAACGTTAAGGGAGGAGGAGCGCGGGAACAAGCGCGATAATAAAGTTCGCAAAAAATTATGCTCCGCCCGGCTAAAAATTATTCTTGCACCAATTACGAGCATGGCGCACACTTGGACGTGCACGCCGCGGCTGAAAGTAATTTCTCCTCGTAATTCCGCCGGACTTTAAATAGGCTTTACGTCGTACAGGAAGGGGCTGCTCCGACTACCCTCAAATTACAGGCGGCCATTATCGCGCAGTCGGCCTCGCATTTGGGCCAGACAATGGCCGCCACCACTCGTTAATGTAATAAGCATCCGAAAGACGCGATCTCTCTCTCTCTCCCTCCTCTTTCTCTCTCTCTCTCTCTCTCTCTCTCTCTCTCTCTCTCTCTCTCTCTCTTTTTCTGTCTCTCTTCTCCTCCGAGACAGCACACCGGCATTCACGAAGTAGAAGCCGCGCAGGACGAAAATCCTCCTCTTCTTCGGCTGACCTGTCCGTCGCCGTTTCGTCGGCGGGCGGACCTGCTCGGCTTCCAGGCGCGCGTCCGGCCCCCTAGGAATTATTATTTTATGAGATTATTATCTCTAATAACATCGCTCAACCGCGGGGGAGAAAAAGGAATACGCTTTTGTGTCCGATGGAAATGTTCACACGTGGAAGTCACTCGCCCGAGCTGCTCGATGTTATCGACGCGTTTTGTCAAAAGCTCAGGTAGAAAAATTCTAGCAACCCTTTTAGGATCTACAATCTGGTCACGCGCGAAATATCGAACACTGTGCGGCAAATTAATGCCGCAAGCACGAGAGAGTGAGATTCATCAAGAGTTCGCGTGGAGTTTATTACCATATTCGGCATAAATAAAGTAACATCGTTCAGCCTTATATTTCGCTTCGTACGATCGCAGCAAACTCTTTCCTTAAAAAGTACATGATTATTATGGAAATATCCAAGCTTGAGAATCAATTATCACGCATTAAGTATTGAGTCATTATGAAATTCACTCATACCTGCAACGCTTCAGATTTATTACACAATGTGTATATAGCTGTAACAATCGACAATGTTCGAATTAGATATCCGTAGTCTTTGTAGGAATATTTCTACTAAGAATTGCCGATTAACAAGATAGTAACGTAACACAACACGCGAAATTATTTTGTTCACCAACTGACCGCGATTTGTATTCTTCAGCCCCGCAGTTCCTCTCGACATGAAACTTCCATTGCTCGACCGTGAAAATATTGCTTGTCTGTTCCGGAGAAGCATGAGGGTACATTATACTACTTACTCGTTAGTTACTCACTCGTCGTCTTTGTATCTTGGACTGAAAATCACGAGGAGCGATTCGAACGTACGTGTTATTTTTCACTTTTACGGAAGGGACGAAAATAGAGAAGAGGTCGACGGTCAAATGCGATTGATCAAAGGGCAGGAACAATCGGGGGTTGTTCTAAGCCAGTAGGTAGATTTTCAACATTCCTTTGCCTCTCACTTTGCCTCTCATATTCAATTGAGTTTTGCTCTATTGAAAATTTCTACTCGTCCGTCGCTGACTATTAGTTTGCGAGCGTCATTCTCCTAGAGTAAGTTCTTCCCGAATCGAGTCATAAGTTTCTTCCACACGATGGCAAACTTTCTTCAAGTGCCGTGCATATAGCAAAGAATGATATAAGTGGCTAAAATTTTGGCATTATTAATTGCTCTTAGTGAAACGTGACGAGTGCAAGAGAAGCAAGGGTGTTTCAGACTCAATAACAGTTTCGTCGTCGGAGCCTCTTATAAATTGGAAACACACGATGCACAATTTTATGCCTTCTAAAATGCAGTGAATGAACTGATCGGTAGCATGCATGTAAAAATACATGAAATCGTGCATCGTGTAATTCTAGCTTTAGATGTGTTGATAAAAATTACAGTGCTTTTGATACAAATATGATAAATAATTCTTTTGCACTTTGATGGACATTGTGTGTGAAGAGAAAATTTGCGACAAAACACGCGACAGAGTGCAGTGCCCAATCATTATATGGAGAAAAAAGTTTGGTTGGATTAATCAAATGTCTGGTGACATATAAACGAACCAGAAATTCCGGTCGAGGTTACCAAAATTCTGTTCAAATTACTAAGATTTCTGATTACCAAGAACTTACAACTGTTTAAATTAACCAGAAATTCTGTTAACTTGAACAGGATTCCGGTAACTTCAACCGGATTCTGATACGTTCATGCTTCACCGAACATTTGGTAGATTTAACTTTTCTTCTCGTATATGTAAAACGATCTGTTTGAAATATTTGTTCCAAGACTAAGACCTCCTATCACTGGCGCGAATAAATATCCGGTGGCGCAGCAGATAAGGTATTGAATTCTCACGTGTAATGCATTGCGTGGCGGCTCTTCCTCGAAACCGAAATCCAATTACTCCAGCGCATCCCCATCGCGATGTTGAAAATAGTTGGACATAAGTGGACCAAGTAATTACTCTCTTTCGTTGCGTTTCAATTAAAATATATCCGCGCGAATCAGGAATTTAATTATAATCAGCGAATGGCGCGTTGCGTAAAATGCAAATACACAATAATCGATGCCACGAAGCGAGTGGTACGGTAACACGTGTGAACAACATTTTTCGCCAATCAATGCGAGGACACGTGCATGTTTACTAATTGTCACTGACGCGGCGGCGCACAGACGGATGTGAAGAAAACGCTAATAATTCTTTATAGCGATTATTTCGTCGGACGAATATTGTGGAATGCGTGTGTAAGAATACTTACCGTGCGGTAATAGTTGTCGGTGACGTGTCGGAACAAAGTTGCACAATAGGACGGATGAGAAACATTCCTGAATGTGTCGTACTATGCAATCAGCCGACTAATTAAATATTCCCGAGTGATCTCTGCGTGAACCTTACGACTGCACGCGAACTTGTTTACGCTCGCTTATGTTTCATCACCTGTATCGTGCTGCGCGAAAAGCGCGCTTCTCGCAAGAAATCGCAATGTGTCGTCGGGAACGCGTCTTCCCTGTCCGTCGGCTCGGGTTTCCCTTTTCGTCGGGTTTGATTCTTCTTCTTTTCGGCGATCCGTTAACGACTAGATCTATTGACGGCGAGTACAAACGAGGACATGAGTACAAACAGATGTGTGTACTTTTGCAGGCGAATACATCCTCAGCTCCGCCGGTCCGAACGGAAGTGGAAGTAGCATCGGAGAGGATAGCCCGCTCCTCAACGAGGCGTCGTTGGGTTTGGACAATCACCCGTTGACTGGCTTGACTGATGATTCGCTGGTGCTAAATGACACTTTAGGACTCGAGCATGATTTTACCTCGGAGCTTCTCGGAGGTAGTCTCTTAGAAAGCGCCGGCGTAGAGGGTCTACTCAGCAACGATACGTTGGGCTTGCCCGACGAATTTAATCTCGAGGAGGCGCTCCAGCTCGTTGGCCTCGATGAGGCTCAACCAGAGGCTTGCGAGGTATTTACGGCGTGCGAGTAACTGCATTGCGAAAGTTCGACGGAAATATGAATATATGACGTGTTCGTCTTTCTCTCCTCGTGTTCTCCACCGCGACGTCGTGACGTCAGAGTCGCGAAATTCTATTCGGATTTCTGTTTCGTCGATGAGACTCTCGCGGCGTTATCTTAATTACGCGATGAGTCGAAATTACTCGGTCGATTTCGTATGAAGTCACGACGTAAATTATCTTGCGCTCAGTTGCAGCGACTAAGCTTTCAAAATTGCTTCTAGTTACAACGATCAATAACAACGCATAATTCTTAGTTAACATAACCCGATATGCCGCGAATTCGTCCTCGACGAGAAAACATTAATATGTTGAACACGACGCGCGCGCTGTAGTAATATTTTTATCTCGCGTGATCACAGCGCCTCGACCTTGGCGCGGTCGTGTGTCCGCCGCGATCATTACATAAAGATTGATTATTAGGAGACGAAACCGGAAGTGAAGAAGAAGAAGAAGAAAGAGGACATCGCTGAGGACTCCGCGAGTGCAGAGGGCGGCGCGGCCATCACCGCGTCGAGTAACGCCGAGGTCGCGAAGTCATCCAGGTGCGAGGATCCCGAGACCGGCGACATGATTCACACACCGCAGTTTCATCATCCCCATCATCCGCACCACCGCTCCTTCCAGGTACGTCTGACCCTGATTTCATTGCCTGCAGATTAGTATACACGTGCCGCTGCCTCTCTCGTTACCGCGCGCGCACGCAATGTCATCCGTGATAGTGACATTGTAATGATTTATGTGCAGAATACACACAGGCGCGGCGTACACAGTAAACACATTTGTTGCGTCCGAGTGAGCGAAGAACGTCGCGGAGAGACTGTCATTTTTCCAATTTTCTCTCAACATTTTCTTAAGTAACCCGATACAGCCCGGCGCACACGAATCACATCGCAAACAACATTCTTTTTTTCGATTCTAACTCCAGTTCGAACATGCTCTAATACGCGGTTATCGGAAAAGTTATCGGACTCTCGATAACGCGTATAGCTAAATTGACTTCCCCAGCGGTATCTTGAGCGCCAATTCACGCGATACACGCGGCTGCAGTTTCGCGAAAGAGAGGAAGAAAGGAGCCCTGAGTGCGGCCGTTGAGAGCGCGCCATTCGCGCGATTTTTCGACATTCCGTTAATGAGAGCTGCGGAATGGCGCTGTGATACCGCGAGAGGCAACGGTGATATACGAAGTAGGAAACAAACGTCGGGGAGATAAGAACGGCGCGCAAAGCCGCGCAGTTAGAGCGGCGTTTACGGTCCATAAACGGGACACTCTTTATTTACAGCGTCGACCGCGAAAATACCGATGCCGGCTCTATACCTGCGGCCCTGCGCTCTCTTCTGTCCTTTCTTCTCCCCCCCTCTCTCTCTCTTGCGGGTTCGACAATTACACATCGTAATCGCGTTTTAATGTGACGACTTTAAGACGGACACTCACGTCAAAAATTCACCGCCTCTGTGATTCGCCCTCTTCAGCCACATGATCCGTTTCGTTTGCACCTGAACTTTTTCCAGTCCAACATGAAGAGAGTACGGTATGTAAGGAATCCGTAATCGCTGTTCTTTGGTGCAACTCTGCCAAATAGAATAATTCGCGAGAGGATCTCGTTATATTGAAATAAGTCAGACGTGCGCGCCGAATTATTCTTTGCGGTCTTTATCTCAAACATACGCTGAACCTACCTTCTTTGTTCAAACTATCCTTTAAAATTCCTTTAAAATTTAAGATGGTACTGAATTCCTCTTTGCACGACACTTTGCGCATCATCTCATGATACGTGCAGATAAATTGCAACTCTCTGTGCACTATACGCTCCGTGATGCTTGACAAAATCACCTTCAAGCACTGTCCAGAATGACAAGTTTGAATGTTTTTCTTCTTGAAATGAGTCTTTGTTCATATTTTTTCTTTTCTAATAATTCAGACAATCACACGAAGGAAAAAGTTTGATTGAGTTGATCAATTTCTAGTATAATATGAACGAACCAGAAAATTTCGACTGCACAGAGAAAAATGATTTGCTGGTCCAGCAAATTTTCTGCTGGTCTAACAAAATCTTTTCGTTATTATATGGACAGCAAAAAGATTTGCTAAGAATACTAATCACTATTTGCTGGATATAATTTGCTGAATCTACAAATTATTTTGCTGTAAGAACCATGATGGACTTATATAAGAAGTTGCAGTTTTGCTCCGATAGCAAATAAATTTACTAAGGATACATTATTTTGCATCAATAGCAAATTAATCTGATTCTTAGGACAAATACACTAAACAAATTTTTTCTATCCTGGTAACGAAACTACTTCTGCTTTGATAACGAATAATTTATAAAATTAGTTACGTCAACTAAATTTTGTTGTGTTTTTTTTCCACTATGTTGTGCAGTAGCAACGATTTTGTTATTAAAGAGCAAAATTATTTTTCTCCATGTGATGTTAGCAGAATTCTATTAAACTTAACAAGATTCTGGCTAATCAGAAATCCTGATTGGGACCAAAATATTGTCAACTTGAACAGAATCCTGCTAACCAGATTTTCTGGTTCGCTCATATTTTACAAGAAATTACTTTTTTTCGTGTACAATCTTTGTGTTACCGTATGTTGCAATGTAATCACGCGATGTTGCATACACAATTTCCGTGCTGGCAGTTGGATACTCGAAAGCTAACCGATACAAAGTATCTTTACACGCATTTCGCGCAGTTTTACGATGACGATTCGATTACGCGTTAGTCGAATCTCTTACATGGGCACGCTGACCCTTACACGGGTTTCACTATCTAGCAATCTAGACGCAGCAGTCGCGCGGATGACTATTACCGCTTGTGGTTTTAAGAGGCTGCTACAACTACCGACTTAGGTCACGGACGCTGTTCGGCGGCAGATTTACAATTTTTGCAGTTCGCGAGAGGCCGGCTCGCTGATTGTAATTGCCGCTTGTTGGATTTGCTTTGTGTTTGTGCGGCTTAACCGCCGCGATTCCGCCGGGATAGTTTGCTCGCTGATTCACCACCTTTGACATCGGTTGCGGTAAACATGCGTACGTTATTATTATTTGCGAGCGCGACATACGTTAACGCGACAGAGAATTCGTGGACGGATTCGAGCGACGGAGAATCACAAATCGAATTTTGCAGTTTTCCCTTGTATAACTTTCCCCCGGGGCTTACCCGTCCTCCTTTCTCGACCTCATAATTATTTTCAACGTCTCCGCGATTACGAGAGACACTATTCGCGCGTTTTGAGATTAAACCTTCTCTCGCCTGCTCGTTACAGCTTTACAGCGTTATAGAATTTTATGGCACGCGCGGAACAAGTTCTGGCGCCGAACAAATCGCGCCTATTAGAAAGCTGTGCGCGTACATTTGGTGTCTCGGGAATCGCCCGTTGCGTGTGTGGACGTTTTATAAAGTGTAAATCAAATTTTATCAGACGTGGCAATGCAGCGACCTCGCCAGTACTCCAAATGCGAGCAGCAGTATTCGGTTATAATGATAAACACACGACGTCCCCGAAAACCTTTCTTGTTGGTGTGAGTATATAATCATGAAAATCGCACCGCTGCATACACACTCGCACTCTCTTAAAATGAATCAGTCAAACATCGCTGAAAACAGTGAATATACACTGATTGCAGTTATAAGTATAGCACTGAAAGTGCTCAGTGTTATACTCATAACTGATATCAGTGATTATTCACTGATTCACTTTAAGAGAGCACGCACACACGTGCAAAAAATTCGGAACTGATAACGAAATCGTGTCAAGGTACACCGGGAAGTCGGACGTACATTTGATGACAGACGCATGAAATTTCACGGCGAGAAATTTTACAAGCGAGAATATTTGCTGCAGCTATATTATCTTTTTCCTCGTTTTCTTTTTTACACATTAACAAGTGATGTTACCGATCTCCGACTGTTATAACGTCACAATAAATAACACATTATCAGCCGTTCGCGGAGAAACAATTACGGTCACGTGTATGCATATAATTATTACATCAAACGGCGATCAATTATGCGTCGCTGTACTTAAAAGTATCGCTTATATAAACATTCAACATAGTAGAGCTCCATATATTGCCTCGCCACCTTTGCTACATTGATCAGAAGCTTGAAAAACAGGGAGACGTGTGCAGCAAAAGGAGTAAAAAACTAGTTTTCCTTCGTCTTTTAGAATTGTTGCATATGGACAAGATGCATACGCCTCACAATATATATACTCAAATGTTTAGACATGTATACTAGTGGATTACGACACGCGTCTTAGACACAATTGATAGCTTACTAACTTGTCAAAACTAGGAGAGTTATTATTAATTATTATCAATTACTATTAGTATTATCATTATTTATTACTCAGTGCCCTTAATTATATTGTTAATTATATTATTGTTACACAAGAGTTGGTCGATAATGATTCAATTTTGATAGTTTGATACGCTTCCAATTTTATTGTGTCAAAACCGTTTTGCAACCCGCGGTGCGTCTCGTACGATTTGCATCGATACATTTGCACGTGGCAAATTTCAATGACGTCAAAAGCGGATGATCGACCGCGTTGGACCACCGAGGACCGTCAGCGAATTGTCGAAACTCGCGTGACTCCTCGAGTCGAGGCTCTTACGAGCTCCCCGTGAGATGAAGCTGGATTCGAGAAAATTCCCGAAGCCCTTAGACATTTCCTCAGACCTGGGATTCCGTGGCCGTGTCGCCGGGGCCGCGTCGTTATGACGCGCCCCGTCGAGAAATCACGTCGTTGTAGGAGAAGAGTACTATCGTGACAATGACCTACCCAGATAGATAGTCCAGCGGACGACGAGCCGTGACGCAACGCGTACGTGTGCAGGACTCGCGTGCACGTGGAGGAACACATCTGAAAAGCCCCGCCAATGGGAGAGGTGGCAGGCCCCTACCATGAAGCGAGCGTTGGACGCGATCGCGATGTTTGTGATCCTGGCCGTCGGCGTCGGCACTCACGGACGACACGCGGCTGGAAGTGAACCTCGCGGATCTCGCGGAAAAATCGTCTCTTTGCGCGGACGGAACGAAGGAAAACAGAAAAGGAGAGAAGCAGCAGAGGAAGAAGATCGACCGCACTGTCTCAGACGTCCGTTCCACTGATAAATACGACCGAGCATTTTCGGAAGAAGTCCCGGGCTGCGATACCCGCTGATAGAGTGTGGAGTGTCCAGACTGTTCCTCTGGTTAAGAACTGGTTCCTGAAGTAGGTGTCGGGCTCGCTCGCCGAAGCTCGCTCCAAGTAACCGTCGAGATTCCCCGGCTAGATATCACCGGGTGGATCCGTCGTATTGTCGATGAAAAACTGGTTGCAAAATGAGGACACGAGACTTCCGCGATCGGTCCCCCACGGCCTTGTATCACTGACTTCGGCGGCCGGAGTGCCTCGTTTGGTGTGAAATTCGTCATTTGCATGGACTTCCGCAAGCACGCGGCAGAACGTCGGGTACGCCGGCGTTACGTGAACGCTAATCCTACGATGCGTAGTAGTGCGCTGTCGCGTCTGAGATTAAACCGCACGAGACGCGTGTGATAAAGCCGCGTACTGCCACAATGACTATCTGTACGTATCGCGTCCGCTCGTAGGAGATTCGAAGCGATTT